ATGAGTCAGTTGGGCTTGTCAATCATGATTCACGAGTCAGTAAAGTGATTATCGAGTAGTGAACGATTTGTTCATGATTTGTGCATCACTATGTCACTCTGAGACAGGATATTTTAAATTTCAGAGATATTGTGCAAATGGAAGAAAGCAGTCTTACATATGTGTTTAATATGTGCATTGAATGACATATCCTGTATAAAGATGACTGCAAGGTTCCTCACAATGTTACTAGGGGCCAAGGTAATGCCACGCAGAGTAAGAATCTGGTTGGATACCATATTTCTAAGATTACAATAACCTCAGTTTTATCTGAATTTAGATGCAAAAAATTAGAGGCCATCCAGGTCATTATGTCTTTAAGTCTTTCCAGCAGTTTAACTAATTGGTGTGTTATCTGGCCTCATGGATAGATAGAGCTGGGTGTCATCTGCAAAACAGTGAAAATGTATGCTATGTCTTTTGATCATACTGCCTAAGGGACGCATGTATAATTAAATTGTTACTAGCACTGAACCCTGTGGGACTCAATAATTAACCTCAGTGTGTGAAGAGGACTCTCCATTTACATTAACAAATTGGAGTCTATTAGATAGATATGATACAAACCACTGCAGCGCATTACCCTTAATACCTACAGCATGTTCTAATTGCTTTAATAGAATATGATGGTCAACAGCATCGAATGCTGCACTGAGGTCTAGTAGGACAAGCACAGAGATGACTCCACTGTCAGAGGCCATAAGGAGATCATTTGTAACCTTCACTAAAGCTGTTTCTGTGTTGTGATGAGCTCTGAAACCTGACTGAAACTCTTCAAATAAACCATTCTTCTGCAGATGATCAGTTAGCTGTTTGACAACTACTCTTTCAAGGATTTTTGATATGAAAGGAAGGTTGGAGATTGGCCTATAATTACCTAAGACCGCTGGGTCTAGAGTTGGCTTTTTAAGTAATGGTTTAACTACTGCCAGCTTGAAGGCCTGTGGTACATAGTCGATTATTAGAGAAAGGTTAATAATATTTATGATTGAAGCATTAGTTAACGGCAGCACTTCTTCATAATCTGTTCAGAGCAGAAGGAGGCTCAGAATGTAGAAGTTCAGAAAATGGAAACTCAAAACAGCTGAAGCCAGCAGGAAGCAACACTGGTCACTATGTGCAGCTGGCTGTGAGATCAGTGCTCAGGGAACTTCTAAAAAGAGCAACACTGAAATTACATCACACACA